AAAATCTAAAAAAGAAAAGCTAAAAGAACAGTGCCTAAAGCCCAATAGACAAGACACTAAAAGTAGTATGGTAGTGGAGAGGGATTTTTATCGCATGTCAATTAAATAATTATGAAAAAAATAAATTTACAAAGATATATTAACCAGTAATATAGTACTCCGCAAATAAGCAAGTTAAAATTCGAATTCTATAAATTATAAAAAAAACAATTTAAAATCGATAGTGTAAGTATATTCATAGTTAGATTTGTTCGTTTTGTTATAATTTGTAGAAGTTTAATTTGAAGTTAAGTCATATATTTTACACTAGTCTATCTTTGTCAGTTTTTCTTTAAAAAATATATTTAGTTTGCATATGATAACAGAGTGTACGCGGATTAAAAGAGTTTCCCGTATGTTGGTATGGGTGGGCTTAGGACCAATGGACCACAAATGACAATACCCACGAGAGAGAAAAATAATGGGCCTCTCGTCAACTGAAGCCTCTCTAGTCCCTTCCCTAGTATGAATGGGCTAATGTTCCGGCCCATCCGAAATATTGTATCTTGTGGGCTTATTCCGAAATATGAGTTGTATCTCTGGATTTATTCTGAAATATTAGCCCTATTTCATGTCATTGTTAGCTAAACTAAAATTTGAAATTTTCAAACTTAATTCTAGAGTCGGCTTACGCTTTTCGTCGTAACCTATATTTTAATATTGGCTTTTAAATGACAGATAGCATATGTTTGCTTTGTCTATTTCTCTACGTGCTTACCGATGATTGCTCAAACCATCGAAATCTTATTGTTATTTTAGAAGCATGATACAAACACAGGTGCTCTTAACGCGTGCACACTCACCCTATTAACACATACACACACTCCATCTCTATAAGTATATTCGGAAGACTGAGTTGGCATATCAATCTTAGCCTTTCCTTTTAAAATAACTTATTTTCGCCTTGTCTAAGTACGTAACCAGAAATTAAATGTTCTTGGACGGAGGGGTGTAATTAACAGCGAGTGAAAGTCAAGTGTTTTAATTAGGCAAGAAACAATCACAATCGAAACCTGACTCCTGTTTGGAGTTAGCGCGTTTCTGCCAGGTACCATGAGAAATAAACCAGACCATTAGCCACACAAATAAAATACTGGTCCGTACACGAAATGCGTGGTCATGGCCGCCATGGCTGACGGAAGAAGCAAGCGAGTGAGCTGCCAAAATTTCTGTGTTTCCCCTTTCTCTTTCACCCGATTGTTTACTGTCTACGGAGTAGTCCAGTTTTTACACCTGCTGAGCTCACACCTGACCTGACCTGACCTGAATACATACCTAACCGTGACCGATGAGGCAATGACTGCTAATTATGTTGTTGTTAGTTTATTAATCTCACCTAAAACTTAAAATTTAAAATTTATTTTGTTGTTAGTTTTGATGTTTTCATTATGGTTTTTTTCTATATATTAACTCGCTATATATAAAAATTTTACCTGTAAAATATTATTTTAAGTTGTTAATAAGTTTTGTGATTTATAATCTATAGTCTATTGGTTACAAGAGTCTCAGTAGCATCTTAGGTCCTGGGTTCGACTTCCCGTGAGAGTGAATTTTCCAGGATTTAACGGCTTTGTGCTTTTAGTCACGCTTATAGTGACTTCGTTAATCTCCATTATGGATTTGCCGTCTCAGTCTTCAAAGATGCTCATGGGGTAGGGTTTGCGTGCGTGCGCTTATATAGTGAGCGTACGTATGTGAGTGTCTATATTGTACTGTGTAATTAAAGAAAAAACTCCATCGCCAGCCGGCAGGCGCAGTCCATACGTTTGTTTAATTCGTCAATCATCTCTCTCAAGTTTCAATTAGTGTGAGTCACTATCAGAGTTTCAGTACTTCACTATTCTTCCTGTAGAATTTGGGACATCCAATGGAGAGCTCCCAGCAATCAACGAAGATTCCACGGAGTTGACACAGGTGCACTGATCTCACGGGAGAAGAATAACAGTACGTGTTTCTTCTCTGTCCAACGAAACGCCCACTTAACTACCTGACAGCATACGTCTTGAGGATCACTGCACTATTATTATTAACTGATGTTTCAGCTAATTAATAACAACGAACAAATCCGTCGAACAAGTCAAGCAAATCATCTACCTTAATTAGCTGTTGTTAGCTGAGCATTTTTGTTCTGCCTAAAACTATATTTGTCGGAAGTTGTGGGCTGCATGAATAATTCGGTCGAAGAGAGAACACTTTCCGCTGCTGTATTCTGTTGCCACAAGAAAAAATAACAATTCTCACGGTCAACACGACACCAAGTATTAAGAAAACGGCTTAGCAAAAATCAAGTTTATCACAGGCGACGATCTCTCGTAATTTGTCGAGTTGACGTGCATATTGTCCAAATGAATATCCAAGATCTCCTCCCATTAGTACATGCCTGCATGTGCAACTAACTGCATTACATTATTACAGGATAATTCAGTTGATCAGGTACTGATGATTATGTGTCAATCAGAAGAAACTGCTCTAACGTGCACAAATCATTTTCTGCAACATAATCTCTTTCTTATTCCGACTTCCCTACAGCTTGCAGATAGCATAACCTCGGAACCTTTTTCTTTATTATTCTTGATGGCTGGAAACTATGATATTGTTTTTTTCTTCTAAAGTGTTGACCACTGGAATAAATTAAAATGTCTGGTATTTCTTTTACATATATATGAGAATTGCAACATTATATATGTTGTTAGAAATGCCTTGATAATACCAGGTCTTATTTCTATATTTTAATACAAGGTTATAAAAATATAACGGCCGCAATCCCATTTTATTTAAAGACTCTGTCAAAAACAGCGCGCACAAAAAATGCAGTTATTAACTAGTTGTTGGAAAATTTTGCAGATTATCAGGTTCACTGAATGCCCCGTAATAAGTTGAACTGCACAAAAGTGCTGTGGTACAGTCAAGTCATGATGCATAAACATGAGTCCATGTATATTAATTAATTAATTTCAAGTTTTGGTCTGCCTAGATTAATTACTTTTTGAGTGCCATGGCCATGGGTTAAGTTGAATGGTAACGTGGCCTTGTAGGTCAGTTCCAACCACAAAAGACTGAGCAATCAACATCAAGCTGGCGACAGTCAATCCGTGTTGGTCCTGATTCATGAACAAAACACAAAAAGTAACATGATTTGCTCGTACGAACCACTGAGCTTGAAAAAAGAAGAATATTATATTAAATTGATATATATGGAAATCATTTTTGACGGATTCCTAAGACTTGTTTGGTTGGAGACTAATGATGCCACAACTTTTTGACTAAAGTGGCTAAGATTAGTCTTGTCATACTTTTGTGGCAAACTAAGGGCTTATTTAGTTTGGAGAAATTTAAACTCATAGGAATAGGAAAATGGAGGACTAGGAATTTTTCCAAGATCTTTGAGTGGATGGAAAAATTCATATGTTTTCTCTATACACCTTGTAGAAAAGGAAATTTTACTTTGATTTTCCTATAGTTCAATCCTACAAACCGAATGACATCTATAGGCATTAATCCTTAGGAATCCAAATCCTTTGTTTTTCATCAAAAACAAACAAGCCCTAAGCTTAGGCAGAGTTAGAGAGTATAATATGTGGGCCAGATGACTAAGAGATAGGTAAAATAGAGTTGTGGTAGAAATCAAATATTGTCTACAAAATAGAGGTATGATAAATTTAGTTGATAACCAAACATGCCCATCAGGATACAATGCATTTTCTATTGTTAGTCAAGTACAGAACAAATGTTTCTTATTTTTTGTACGGTTAAATTGATTTCAGCATGAAAACATAGAACAACGACGTAGAAAATTGTAACCCAATTCAACAAGAATCAAGAGAGCACAATTTGGGTATGGTGAGTGAATTTTGGATGAATTACTTTATCCAATAAACTTCAAGCATCTTGGTTAATATTCATGCACAATGAGGTGTGTTTTAATACTTTTTTTTTTGAGGTTCAAAGAGCAATATAATGCTGCATGCCATCAATTCAGTGCCTGTTATCATGGATTATATATTTGATTGTAGAGATTTTCTATACTTGATTATAGAGATAGATCAAATATTTTCAGGAATAAACTTAAAAAATACTACATACGTAATCTGTAGCAATATAGTACTTCAGAACACAATTTTTTTTGAACGTTTAGAAGTGCTATACCTTCATAGTATAAGCTGAAAAAGACATGGCCTAAGTACATAGTTGCGCCCATATTTCATATATCTGAAAAAATCGAACAAAACTCTAAAACATTTCTCTTTCTCTTTAGAGAATGATAATGATTTACATCTCTAACCTTTTCCATTAAGCATACAACTAATCCAATACTCTCTTTAGGGAGATTCTAGCAATTGCAACATCTTCCAGAATCTACAACTCTTCTAAACAGTCCAAATTCTTACTTAGGGTGTGTTTAGTTCACGCCAAAATTAAAAGTTTAGTTGAAATTGAAACGATGTGACGGAAAAATTGAAAGTTTGAAGAAAAAGTTTGAAACTAAACTTGGCCTTGAGTAGATTTTAAGAACAGTCATAGAATATAGAGAATAAATTAGAAACCAGAAATTTAAAAGCGCAACCTTTTTCTAATTGTTATCAGGCGGTTACTCTGCTCATTAAATGTTTATTAGAATATTAATCTCCCCTAAAAAGGATTATTTCCCTTTACACAAAAGTATGTTGTGCATTCCTATCCTAATTAATCCCTCACCCCCACAGGTTAGCAAAAAAAGATATACTCCAGGGACCTAGGCGTAAAAAGCCCCCTGCCTGCCTGCCGTCCCACACGGGCACGCCGCGGCGGCCACGTTCTCTTCCCGCTCCGACGAATTCTGCTCTCCATTCTCCTCGCCGTTGACGAAAACCAAACTAAGCCAAGACTTTGACTCGCTCGTCACCTCGACCTCACCATGCGCGTCGCTCTCCTCCTCCTCCTCTTAAAATCGATGTCGATGGCGCGCACCAACCTTCATCTTGCTGCCCCCGCGCGCACGCCACCTCGCCCCGTCCCCACCCCACCATGCCTCACTCCTCCTACCTCGCCCTCGCCCTCGCCGTTGCGGCGGTTCTTGCTATGGCCGCCGTCGAGGTGTCCGGCCTCGGCTTCGACCTCCACCACCGCTACTCCCCCATCGTCCAGCGGTGGGCGGAGGAGCGTGGCCACGCTGGCGTGTCCTGGCCTGCCGGCGCCGAGGTGATCGGCTCGCCCGAGTACTACTCCGCGCTGTCCCGACACGACCACGCCCTCTTCGCGCGACGCGGGCTCGCCCAGGGCGACGGCCTCGTCACCTTCGCCGACGGCAACATCACCCTGCGGCTCGACGGATCGTACGGACACCTTCTCGCCGCCGCGCGCCCCCCTGCTCTTGCTCCCTCCTGCGCGCCGGCGAGTTGACCTGATCGAGTTTTTGCAGGCTGCACTACGCGGAGGTGGCGGTGGGCACGCCGAACACGACGTTCCTGGTGGCGCTCGACACCGGCAGCGACCTCTTCTGGGTGCCCTGCGACTGCAAGCAGTGCGCTCCCCTCGGCAACCTCACGGCGGTGGACGGCGGCGGCGGCCCGGAGCTCAGGCAGTACAGCCCGAGCAAGTCGTCGACGAGCAAGACGGTCACCTGCGCCAGCAACCTCTGCGACCAGCCCAACGCCTGCGCCACGGCCACCAGCAGCTGCCCCTACGCCGTCCGCTACGCCATGGCCAACACCTCCTCCTCCGGCGAGCTCGTCGAGGACGTGCTCTACCTCACCAGGGAGAAGGGCGCCGCCGCCGCCGCCGCCGGAGCCGCCGTGCGAACTCCCGTGGTGTTCGGGTGCGGGCAGGTGCAGACGGGCTCGTTCCTCGACGGCGCCGCCGCCGACGGCCTCATGGGTCTCGGCATGGAGAAGGTGTCCGTGCCCAGCATCCTCGCCAGCACCGGCGTCGTCAAGTCGAACAGCTTCTCCATGTGCTTCAGCAAAGACGGCCTCGGCCGGATCAACTTCGGCGACACCGGCAGCGCCGACCAGTCCGAGACGCCGTTCATCGTCAAATCCACACAGTAATTAAGCAAGCTTAACCTGTTCATGATTTGATCGAGCTGCGACAATTAACTGAATTACTACTGAATTTGTTGCTGCAGCTCCTACTACAACATCAGCATCACGTCGATGAGCGTCGGGGACAAGAACTTGCCGTTGGGGTTCTACGCCATTGCTGACTCCGGCACGTCCTTCACCTACCTCAACGACCCGGCCTACACGGCCTACACCACCAATGTATAGTACTAACTTGTCCTACATGTTCACTGACAGTTTTCTTATAGCCACTTAATGGATCATGTCTCTGAAACTCTGATGTGAGCTAGATATTGATTATACTTAAGACTTAAGAAAGCCCAAGTTGGTGACTGGCTTTCTTTAGTTTTTGTAGACCAAGTCAGATTAATCGGGTGGAGTACTATATAGAATGGTCCTGAAGAGTTGATCAAAAATGCAATTACAAAAAGAATGCAATGAACAGAGTGTACAAAGTTAAATGAGGTCAACTTGCTCATCATTTCTGTTTATTCATTCTGTATCGCAGTTCAACGCGCAGATCAGCGAGAGGAGGGCCAACTTCAGCGGCAGTACTCGTTCTGGTCCATTTCCTTTCGAGTACTGCTACTCGTTGAGGTAACAATTCTGCATCTAAGCCTCTACAAATTTAAGTTGCAAGATTGTTTCATCTCGCAAGTCGCAGCACAAATCGTTCTGATGGTGTTTGGGAAAATGCAGTCCTGATCAAACAACGGTGGAACTGCCTGTTGTGAGCCTGACGACCAATGGAGGAGCCGTGTTCCCGGTGACCAGCCCTGTTTACCCCATCGCGGCTCAGATGACAAACGGAGAGGTAAATTACAGAAAAGATCACCATGTAGTCAGTAGTCATGGAACAAGAAGCACCAATTGCATCGTCATCTCTGAATCTCTCTGACATTTAGTACTAGTTGAAGTTGATTATTCAACTAATCGAATGTGATTCTTCTTACCGTGACAAGCAGATTCGTATCATTGGTTACTGCCTGGCTGTCATCAAGAGCGATCTCCCCATCGACATCATTGGCCGTACGTTGTTAACTGTGTTTTTCTGCTTGCTGCACGCACTGTTTCAGTCTTCAGTTAATAATGCTGAATGTGTTGCGTGCAGAGAACTTCATGACCGGGCTCAAGGTCGTCTTCAACCGTGAGAAATCCGTCCTGGGCTGGCAAAAGTTCGACTGTAAGTTACCTCATTCATCTCGATCCCCTGCAGCTAGCAAGAATTAACGATGACATTTTTTCTTTCTGCATCTGATCGATCACTGGCTCACTGCTGCGAATGACTGAAATTGAATTTGTTCAGGTTACAAGGACGAGAAGATGACAGACGACGGGTCGAGCGTCGGGAGCCCGAGCCCATCGCCGGGGCCGACCACTCACGTCTTCCCGCAGCCGCAGGAGAGCGACTCGCCGGCGGGCAGAACGCCCATCCCCGGCGCGGCGCCGGTGCCGCGGTCGAGCAGCGCGGCAGCTGGCGGCCGTGCAGGCTTCCGGCTCCTGTCGTCCATGGCGCTCTTGCTGCTGGCTGCTGCTGCTGCAGCTGTTTTCTGATGATTTTTTTTTTACTTGGGGAGTTTATAGGTGATTTCATTCGTGGTGGCTGCTCTGCTGTGTACATAACACATGCATGCATTCGAGATGATTTTTATTCAGAAAGCGTAGATAGATCGATCGATCATTGTAGGATTTAGTAATTTGTTCTTGTGATGATGATTGATGTGTATATGGTTACGAGGATTTTCGTTGTTGGATTCGGTGATAAGCGAGCTACGTTCATTTATTATACGAATAAAGATGGATAAAATTATACTGCATCTTTCAATTGATCTGTCCAACAACTTGCGGTGTTGGTGTGATCTGGCTTTCGTGGAGCAATTCTCCATCGCCGGAGTTCTTATAGCATAACCGGATACTGCGGCTGAAGGCTTCGTTAGATGCCTCGACGCCGGCGACGGACACTGACTGGTGGGACCGGGCAAGATAGCTTCCTGACCGTTTATTTTAAGAGAATTTTTACTGTCCTTGAGGCTCTGAGGTACCAAATCTGAACTGTCGATCCGGCCTCATCGGACGGATGAGATTGCAGCGTACCGCCTGGTACGGCACGGGCTGATATATGCGGTACCGCAGGTGGAGGGGTAGGAAAGTAATTTCGCCTTATGCCGCAACAGCGAGAGAGAGGCCGATGATTCCGCTTGGCTCTTTCCTTCTCTCGTCCCTCTTTCGTTCTTTCGTCTCTCAAAGAAACGAAGCTGGCCTTCTTCTTCCTCCGCACATCTTAAATCTGGCCTTGGCGCACACGGAGGTATTTCCTTCTCTCGTTTTTCTCTCCGATTTCATGGGCGCACGCAGAGGGAAGACCTTTCTTTGATTCTCTCAGCTCTCTTTCTTGATCTCGTATTTCTCTTCGATTTACATGTGAGTGCAGGCAGTGGGAGCAGCGCAGATGATGGGGGATGGCAGATCCCTAGATAGGTCCATCCGCTCGTGGCCCCCTTCGAGCAATGGAGGCGATCTTGCCGCATGTAGGGTGGGGCTGGTGTTCAGAACTGCGCAACGGCGGGTAGATTGACCGCATGCATCTTCATTCAGTCGTGCCCTAGTAATCGTTAAGACTAAATGAAGATGTGCTTAGTCTTAATGTTCCTTCTATTATGTACTGTGATGCCCTCCTATGATGTAATCCTATATACCTATACAAATCATCCCCACTACTAGAATTCTCTGCTTCCTGGTGCTTCCACGTCACCCCATTTTCTCCCCACCGTTCGATCTCAATCAAGCGGTCGCATCGCTCCTCTCCTCTCCCACATCTCGCTGCTTCACCGGCCCCACGCGCATCAACCCCTCTCTCCCGCATCGCTCCTCTCCTCTCCTCTCCCCTCGCACGCTCGCATCGATTCCCTCTCCCGCATCTCGCTCCGCCGCCCCCTTCGTATCAATCTCGCCGTGATCCTCTCCATCTCCCACATCGTGCTCGCCCGTACCGGCGCTGGCATGTCATCCGCCTCCCGTGCCACACAGAGGCAGGATGAGGGTGTGGCGCTTCCCTTCCCGTCGCCCCCATGGCAGCTCGTGCGCTGCTTCCCCTTCCTCTCCCATGTCTAAGGTTGTTCGCCTCTTTAGGTTGCCATGATTAATGAAAACCGTTGACAACCACCGAGGAAAACACTTCACGGCTGTTATCAAGTAAATCCATTAATGGCTTAATGCGTTTTCTTCTCCTCTTATCCCTTTATCAGTTCTGCATCTATATCCAATTTATCATCTCGCTTATTCGTCGATCTACCACACTCTACCAGGCTGCTGGCATTTTACTACCGTTCTTGCAACTCTGCTTGCTGGATTCATATGCAGCCCTCACCTGTCGATCCTCTCCAATTACTTCAATGATCTAACACAGGTTACCTACCGATTTCCCCTTTCCTTATGTTCAATAAATCTGATACCCAGCAGAGAATTTTATTGTTGTTGTATCCTCTTTTTCCAGGTTTCAGGTTCTTGGCTACTGATTTAGTTGATTCATATTCTTTATTTATCCTGAATTATAGACCACTTCTCATTCTTAAGTGGTTGAAGACGTGGCAAATATGCATCTATTGGTTGATTTGTCGTCACCCGATCAGATCTAAGAACTCATCGAGCTAAGTAACAATCATATGGGCTGCTAAGCGGATGGAGCTTTCTTCTTTTGGTATTTTAATTATGGTCTTTAACTGGTGAAGCTATATATATCTCGGTACATCTATGTCGTTGATGTGCTTTTCACTTTTGATAAGGTCCTTATCAAGAATGATGTCAGATTCTCCACACACAGACACACAGGTTTGCTCTTAAATAGATTAGGTTGTCTTCCGTCTCAAAGTTCATTTTATTTTCTGATCATGTATACTCTAGATATGTTTTTAAGTATCTTTTGTCACTCTTGAATTAGCTTGGTGATATAAATATTTTTGGAGTTTTCTGAAAGCTAAAATCACTCCAAAGAGTTAATCAAGGATGAGTACTTAATTATATATATGAGGTAATAATCCTTTTCCCAACTTCCCATATCTTACTCAAGCATGAAAATTTTCTACCATTATTATATAATAGTTTGACACCTTAGTTATGATTTCCTTGCTATCAGTGATAATTGGACTATATTTGTAGATGTTTAAAAATATAAAATATTGATGTTTCAGTTATGGTTATTATCAGTTTTGTAATTGTAAAGTAGTCATCACTCATCACCTAGGTTTGCTACATGACTTGACTACATTCCTGATCAGCTATGCAACTACAAATGCGCTCCTAATGTTCATCGCATATTTATACGATAAGATATGCATAATAATTGCTACTTCCAGTTAAATAAACATTTCTTACCACAATTATGTATGATATTCTAGCACCTTATCCATGAATCAATTGGCATTCATTTGCAAGATTAACTACATAATTTCCAAAACTGAGATCAATGGGTCAACGAGGGAAGCGGTACTAGGAAAAATGTCATGCTGAATAAAGGCTATCAAGTTAACGAGGACAACAGTATGACACCTTACTTGCTTTTCTACTGTTATTTTTCATACATGCTATGTTCATAAACACATAGTACATAATTTTGGGTAATTTTATTGATGGTGTATATTTTTCATTTTCCAGTAATGTTTAGTGGCCTTCAATTTTGTTTATTAATACTTGCTCTATCCGGTCAACAGCCATATATTTGAGTTGTAATTCTGTTAGTTGCATTGGCCAACCACTGCTACCTGGGGAGATACTCCATCATGTAATATTTAGTTATAATTACCACTGTATATACTCCATCAATTATATGGTAATAAGTAGTTTTTTTTTTCTTTTTTCTTCTCAAATGTTATGCACATATTGCATGTTGAAAGTTATTTATTATGTCCGCAGCAACGCGCGGGGTATTATCTAGTTAAGTTAATGGATGAACCATCTACATCTGTTTAATCCTAAATGGATGCTTCAGTATTGAAAATCTGGTTGTTTCGGTTCTGCCTATGAATTTTTGCTGCTGTTGTTTCTGAATGGATGCCATTGCTGCTGTTTATGAACTGACTAGTGTCTACTAGTTGCCCATGTGGAAGCTGATGAAATCTGATGTTTGTTACACTGATGAAAGCTGGTGTTTGTTTCACTGATGAAAGCTGGTGTTTCTGCTTCTGCCGCATAACATATTTGGCACTGATACACTTACTAGCATGGATATTTGGGATTTAAACACAAGTACAAATCCAGGAACACAACATGTGAGCTTTGCATTCACTGATTAATAGATGCAATTTAACTGAAACAGCCAGATTTAAACACAAGTACAAATCCAGGCACACAACATGTGAGCTTTGCATTCAATACCGATGCAGTTTAACAACAAGCTGGGCAAAATCAACCCCTAATCCATAAGAAAGTTTGCAAATACAAAATGCAGTACTTCTGGTGCAATACAGGTTTGGAACAGGTCTGCAAATAACAAGAAGCTGGACAAAATCAACCCCTAATCCATAAGAAGGATGGCTAGCGGCGCTGCTCTGTCCGGGATGGCTGGCGGTGACGGAAAGAAAGGTGCTCGGGCGGCGGGCAACGGCGGTGGGCACCTGTGCTCGGCCGGCTATGGTCGGGCGGTGGGCGGCTGTGGTCGGGCGCCGGCGGAACTGCTACGGCGGACGACGACTCGTGCTGGACTTGAAGGGATTGTTTCGCCTGCTTTGGCGGTGCCGACCGAGTGGCCCAACGAGCGAATGCCTCCTTTTTTCCGATCGTGCCCCTCCTAAATCAATGGCTAGATTTGATTTGGTACCTCATAGTACCTAGTACCTCATAGTATCTCATTGTACCTCATGGTGCCTTCTCAGGGATGGGAAAAGAGCTCGGTTTCCGCTTCTTCTTCTTCTTCTTCTTCTTCTTCTTCTCCGTCCTAGTTCTTGCCTTGTACTACGATCGATATGGACAAATGGCAGACTAATCGGCGCCCTCCACTGCTCGAGCGCGTGATTATGTATTCCTCTTCTTCTTCTTTTTGCGGGGAGATTATTTATTCCTCTTGGCTTGCCGGCATCGAAGTCCTCGCTTTTTCTTTCTCACCGGGTGTTCGCCGGCCGAAATTAATTAAGATCAGGAGAATTCCTGGCCATTCTTAATTATGAAAACAACATTGAGTGACTGGATGACGAAACTTGGCCAATCGTCTGCGTTGATGTGGCAATTGCTGAATTGCTATGCCAATTGCCAAATGGGATCAGAAAATAAGTATCTTTGGTTACAGAATTCAGAGATAAGAAGAGAGGCAGATTTCAGCAAGTCAAGAATATGGACATAATTTCCATTTGTTTTTCTCTTGCTATAATCTATGGATTCCTTCGGAATATTGGATGATTGGATCTGACATTCCTTGTGGATCTAACAGAGTCTGACCAACCAGACGTCAATGGTTCAGGCCCTGTTTAGATGGGACTAAAACTTTTAAGTCCTTATCATATCGGATGTTTGAAAATTAATTATAAATATTAAACGTAGACTATTAATAAAACCCATCCATAATCTTGGACTAATTTGCGAGACGAATCTAATGAGCCTAATTAATCCATGATTAGCCTATGTGATGCTACAGTAAACATTCTCTAATTATAGATTAATTAGGCTTAAAAAATTTGTCTCGTGAATTAGCTTTTATTTATGTAATTAGTTTTGTAAGTAGTCTATATTTAATACTCTAAATTAATGTCTAAAGACAGGGACTAAAGTTAAGTCCCTAGATGTAAACACCACCTCAGTCTCTCCCTGCCTTCAGGTTGCTAACTGTTTATCTCTGACACTATTGGCAATTGACATCTGGCCTGTTTGGTTGGTAACTAAATTTGCCACACCTAACCTTAGGCAAGTCATAGTTTTAGTTTTAGTAGACAGTGTTTGGTTCTTGCCACAAGTCTATTTTGTCTAATTCTTAGCCACCTGGCCCACAAGCCATACACACTTATTTTCTTGCCAAACATTGCCTAAGCGTAGTTTGTCATTTTGTTTGCCACAAAAGTGTGGCAAGACTAAGTTTAGCTATCTTAGTAAAAAATATGTGGCAATATTAGCCCCCAACCAAACAGACCATAAGGGATAGACAATATTAGTCCCCAGCAAGTCTATTTAATGTTTTCTTCAGGAATAGGCTGCTCCTGACGACAAGTTTGTGACCTCTGATGTTCTGGAGATGGAGTAGCAGACTTGCTGAAGACTATCAAGCAAACTCAATTATCTCTCGGCTTTAAGTTCGTTGCTTGCTCGGTTGCTCCTCCAAATTAAGTTGCTAGCAGTAATGAGATACGTAGGAAATAAACAAGTAATCAACATTGTGAAATCTGGAACAAACAAGTGAACAAGCAACACGAACAAAGATACTGGCTGGCTGGCTGCTGCTTTAGACTTGAAGCTGCTTAAGAGAGGCTGAACTGGGTGCGCTCGTTCCCGCGGGCCACCGCTCCTGCCACCCGCACGCTTCCCAAGCTATTAAAATTTATATATAAAAGTTGCTTAAAAATTCATATTAATTTATTTTTTTAAAAAATAGCTAATACTTAATTAATCATGTGCTAATGGCCTGCTCCGTTTTTCATGCCGGAGGGATTATTCCCCGTCCCTCGCTCTCTCTTGGGGCCTAAGTTTAAAAGAAACGCAAGCGAGCAACGCGAAGTTCATCTTCATCATGCACGATATAACCTGCGCCGCAATATCCGAGCTATCAGTTAAAATAAAAACCATCAAATCCAGGTGAAATGAGAGAAGTGGCAAGGTTTTGATCTTGTAAAATTTTGAGAGTACAATTGTACGTGGTCTGCTACTCATTTGCAGGCAGACCACGTACTGCCTGCAAAATTGTACTCCCAAACTGATTGGCGGCCCATGTCAGTCAAATCAGTTTCTTTCTTTTTTCTTCTGAATATCACTGAACTTTCAGGATGCTGCTGTCTGTCTAGGACGCATGATCCTACAAAATTCCGTCATGTAATACTGCTGGGACTAAAATACTGGAGTGCATAAGACGGATCCTGCAGCTCAAGTGTGAAAAGGGGAAATTTTGCGGCTGCAAATCCATGTGCCTTTGCATTTTAATTTTGATTGTTAACAGTACAAAGCTTGGACCTTAGTTCATATGGTAATCTTATATTGACATGTCAAAAGCTTGCTTTTACTCAACTTTAGCTATACCTTAGAGAATTAGCAGGAATGGGGAATCCTTTGTGTTCTGACCCTCATTTTAGTTTTCAAGTCAATGTTACTGATGCAGTGAAGTCAACCACAAAACCTTATCTTTTACTCAAATCAAAAGTGTTCTTTTAGGAAAAGTTTTTTTTTTCTGTGGAGCACTTTTCACTGGCATTAATCCCTAATGTAAATCTCATATCACTATATCAGCTACAAGACTTGACCTAGGTAAACTGAAATGACTGACATATGCTGACATAGTATGCATTTAGCCACTTCCTCATTTTCTATGAGTTTACTTTAAAACCGCTAAACGATGTGTTTTTCTATAAAAAAGAATTTATATACAGAAGTTTCTTTAAAAAATCAAATAAAACCATTTTTCAACTTTAAAATAATTGATAATTAATTAATCAAATACTAATGGGTTATCTCGTTTTGCGTGCAAGTAAAAGCTCAGCCGTTTGGCACACTCAAACGCAGCCTCACTCAACACGAACCAATCCACACTGCACTGCAACTGAAGAATTTGTCTAGATGTTCTGCTGTTTCTTGTCTTTGCAGGCAGTTCATCATGCCCTCAAATTGAGATGAGGTTAAAAATAAAATATAAAAGCAAGATATCCTAAACAAATTGATGTGTAATATCATTTTTGGAGTTTACTGTTTTGTGGTGGCAGCAGATGCAGAAAGATTTGGAAGGAGACCATGTGCACCGCTCAATTCATCTCCCGTCTCAGTCTCAGATTGTCCATGTGCTCGGCTGGCCTCCTTCACTTCAGTGTCCGGACCATACTGCAGTGATCTGCAGCTGCTCTGCTAGTATTACTGCACCCAACCAACCACACAGTGCGTGTTCTTTCTGAAGCAATTAATGCTTGTTAATCTGCAGTTAGTTGTCAGGCAGATTTGCAAATATACCGGCCATTTTTGTGCTCTTGATATCTTCTACTATAGTTGTATGCTTCCTTGCCATACTGAAGAAAGAAACACAGGCAGATTTCGGAAGGTGCCTAATCTAAATCGGCTTGCTGCCTCTGAAGCAGAGCTAGCGGCAGTGTTTGCAACCTGTTTAATGGCAGTATTACGAATGCCTCCTCCAAGGAAATCAGCATGTCTGTCTCTCAATCTCCTGAGCATGGACTATATAGCTAACCTAACAAGGTTGGCACCGACTTTAACATCTTCAAGTTTAATGGTGCAGCTAGCTCTGAACCTGATGACGGCAGAGGCATGCATGGTCGGTGCAGAAGCAGCAGCAGAAAGCCGTAATAACTTGGCTCGAATTAAAGCGAGATAGAAAGCGTACGTACGACCGTACGTCCTCCCTGTTCTTCTTGGGCGAGATGGATGTATCGAGCAGAATATGGGACGGATTGATCGTGACATGACAAATTTTAATTTCGCCCGCAAGCCATGGCTCTGCATGTGCAAAGCTATCTCTCGCGTGTATATATACAGCTCACGTATGCAGCAATCAGATTCAGTTCACCATAGTAGCTAAGCTAGCACAGGTTGCAACGAGCAGAGAGCTAGGCGAAATCGATCGGAATTCGGAGATGGCGCGCCGTGGCCATGTGTTCGCCGTGGTGGCGTTCGTCAGCTACGCGCTGCTCGCCGCCGCCTCGACGACGGTGGAGGCGTTCGCGGCGTCGGGCTGGAGCAAGGGCACCGCCACCTTCTACGGCGGCAGCGACGCCTCCGGCACCATGGGTACGTACCTATGTGTTCGTCCGTTGCGTCGCGTCGCGACGCGTGCTTGGACTGACTGACAGAGTGCGGTGTGCGTGCATTGCAGGCGGTGCGTGCGGGTACGGCAACCTGTACACGCAAGGGTACGGGACGCGGACGGCGGCGCTGAGCACGGCGCTGTTCGACGACGGCGCGTCGTGCGGGCAGTGCTACGCGCTGACCTGCGACGCGAGGGCGGACCCGCGGTGGTGCCGCGCGGGGGCGTCGGTGACGGTGACGGCCACCAACTTCTGCCCGCCCAACTACGCGCTCCCCAGCGACGACGGCGGCTGGTGCAACCCGCCGCGGCCGCACTTCGACATGGCGCAGCCGGCGTGGGAGCGGATCGGCGTGTACCGGGGCGGCATCGTGCCGGTGGCGTTCCGCCGCGTGCCGTGCCGGAGGCGCGGCGGCGTGCGGTTCACGGTGGCCGGGCGGGACTACTTCGAGCTGGTGCTGGTGACGAACGTGGCGGCGGCTGGGTCGGTGAGGTCGATGGAGGTGAGGGGCAGCCGCCGTGGCGCCGGGTGGATGGCCATGTCGCGCAACTGGGGCGCCAACTGGCAGTCGCTGGCGTACCTCGACGGGCAGGGCCTCTCGTTCCGGGTCACCGCCACCGACGGCCAGACCATCGTCTTCGCCGGCGTCGTGCCGCCGTCGTGGAGGTTCGGCCAGACGTTCGCGAGCACCCAGCAGTTCATGTAGCTAGTCTCACTCTCGCTCGGGTTCCCTTTGGTTGGCACTTGGCAGTGGCGTTGTTTGCTATACTTTGCTCTCTTCTGTTGGTGTTTAATTAGCAGCCCGCCAACGATTTGTGCTATGTAATCGTGTTAATTTGACAGTTTTTGTGGTGTATTGAGAAGACTTGTCCACGTATCAATCTAGCACAAATTGCTTTGCAAAGTAACCATGTTTGGAGACTAAAAAAAATTAACCTTACATCAACTGGGGATGTAGCTCAGATGGTAGAGCGCTCGCTTAGCATGCGAGAGGTACGGGGATCGATACCCCGCATCTCCATTTCTCAATTTTCTTTTTTATTTTCCTCCTCCACTTCTGAATTCTAATTTCTCACTTTTTTTTTTCTCCACCTTAAGCAAGACAGGCAAAACATTTTTTGCTCCAACAAGTAATCTCGTCTCCTCAATCCAACAAGCAAAACGATTCTTACATTTTCCTAGCTATCCACGAAAAACAAAAAATGGCCGTGTACTACACTACTACTTAATTTCTGTATGTACATTCATTTATTTTTCTATCTACTGTAAGATCATAATTAATCAACAAAGAAATAAAAATAAACAAATGAATCATGAATGAACAAGTTAACCAGCAACCAGAGTAAGCAACTGTTGCTGATCAATGATCTCATCAGCTACTAGTTAATCTTTCTTCGGACGTCGTCGTCACCGTCGCCGGCGACGGCGGCGGCAGCCCACGCGCCATCTCGTGAGCCACCAGCCGGCGCGTCCGGTTGATGGTGATGAGGCAGAGGCAGACGTGCTCCTCCAGCTCCGCCAGCTGCGCCCTCAGATCCTCCTCGCACTCCTCTTCCTCCCTCGCCACCTCCTGCAGCAGCGGCCGCTCGCCGTGCCCGCGCATGGCGATGCGCGCCACGTCGCGCCCGTGCTCCAGCTCGTCGTGCGCGCGCCGCACCATGCGGCTCACCGTGTCGAGGTCCCGCCCCACGATGTACGCCCCGCGCGCCGCCGCGTCCAGCGTCGCGCCGGCGCGCGCGTAGTGCCGCGAGCTCACCTTCTCCGCCGCCCTCCTGCCCCACCACCGCGCGGCGCCCGCGGGTGTGGCGCCGAACGCCGCGGCGGCGACGCCGATCCCCACGAGGGCGTGCGCGGCGAGGACCACCGCGGCGACGATGGCCGCCGCGCACGCGCCGACGAGCGCCGCCGCGGCCGTGCCCCGCGCGATGCGCAGCGCGCGCGCCAGCCTGCGGAGCCGGCGCTGCGCCGCGGCGAGGCGCGACGCCAGCGGGGAGCACCGGGCGTGCACGTCGTGGAACTCCGAGAGGCTGCCCGGGGAGAGCGGGTTGTCGAGGCGGACATGGCGCGCGAGGGCATCCTTGGCGTCGTCGTCGTCTCCCCCGTCGAGCCGGAGCAGCAGCCGCCGGAGCGTGAGGTGATGCCGCCGCGCGGCGCCGATGGCGGCGAGCAGCGCGGAGCAAGCCTCGCACGCCTCCTCCGTCACATCAAAATACTCAATCAGCAGCGTCTCCACGCGGTGACGCCGCGGCCGCCGCCGCCGCCGTTGCTGGAGACGAGCACCCCGAGCAAGCGACTCCGGGCTCGGCTCGAGGACGAAGTCGTCAAGAACAGTATAAGAGCACGACTGCTCCGAGTCATCCGCCGCGCCGCCATCACCGCCGGCGTGCAAGAAGTCGTCCTCCCTGGCACCGCCGCGGCCGGCGCAGGGGGTGGAGGTGGAGAGCTTGAAGGAGGAGAAGGTGTGGGTGAGGTGGTGGTGGGCGTGAGACCATAGGTCGAGGAAGGACTTGGAGCGGAAGGCCTGGTTGTACTCCTCGTCGACGGCGAGCGGTGGCCTCGCCGGAGTGGCGGAAGGGGTGGAGTTGCTTCTCTCGATCATGGCTCCCTCTGCAGCATTGGCGCGAAGATGAGGAAGACGACGACCAAGTTAGTAAGTTATTAGTAGTTAGTTAAAGCAGCAAATTAATTAAATTAAGGCGGCAAACAACGCGGAAGAGCAAGCATGAGAGCGCGAAAGCGTCAAGAAATGGAGATGAGTCTCTTTGGGAGCACAGCTATCTCTATAGCTTGCTGTTGCTTGTGATGCAAGTGTGCAATTTAGCTACACTACCATTGACTCTCTAGTGTGCAACGTGTACAAGCTATTGGCTATAGCTTAGCTAGCAGATGAAACTTGAGGAAAAGCATGCATTTGTAGGTCGGTTAACCGGCCTAAATGTACCCTGTTTAGTTTTCAGATTATTTGTCCGATTATTGAAACAGATTATTTGCTCTACGCTTCAGAAAATACATTTCTGAAGAAAAGAAAAAAAATCTCTGTTGTATTGCTTATACCAATTGTATTAAGTTATTTGCTAAGTTTGTATCTCAAAATTTTTATACTTTTTATATATAATCAAGTGAATAATCCGTAGCAACAACCTACTCAATAATCTAAATTACACAGGACTAATTGGCTTACCCACCATAGTTATTTTAAGTGAATAATTGTGTGTGTGCTTCTTGATTAAAGTTTTGATTCTAGCTAGCTGCAGGCTTGCCTACCATAACTTTTGTTCTGATGCAAATGTAGGGATTATTTAACGAGTATGAATTAAGGCGAGTGGAACATTGTAGGTAGTTTGATCTTTCAAAACGATTTGCGCAAACTGAACAAAACCGAAACACACAAGAGCTGACAAATATGGATTTTATTATGAGGTCATGCATGCATGTTGCTACTTAAAAAAAGTTTAAACATTGGCAGAATTTTATAATAAGCTTCCAGTATAAAACTGTTGAATTCAAAGATGCTATACATGTATAGCAAGTGTCTACTTACGAGTTCCGAGGCTAAATATGGATTTAGCCAACGAAGGTGACGACGAAGACCTCATCTGACTCGCCGGATGAATTAAACAGAAAAAAAGAAAAGGAGAAAAAACTCTCCAACTGTGTTATCTCGATCAACCGGCCGGTGCTCTGCTCTCACGACATGTGGAGCTTATTGGAAATTTCATTTGAGTTCATGCCTCTCCTCTTATATAGGGATCGACCCAGGAATGTAGCTATATAGCTAGCAATGGAGAGAGAGAGAGAGATTATTAGGGGAAGCTAGCTCTTGCAAGGCAAGAAACAAGATCCAAAAGCCAAGAAGAGAAAGGTGTCCTCTTTCTGGCACACACTGGAAAGGAGAAAAGATAAAGCAACACATCACAAGGAACACGAAAGCGATCCATCGAGCAATAGCAATATGCACACAACCTTACAATTTGCACCACAGATATGTGGCTATATATCTTCTTTATTATTTTGTTGGCATGTAACTGTGGTGTGTAGTGTTTGAGTAACATAACATCAAATATATGTTGAGCTTGACATGTAATCAATGGCGACTAATGATTCAACATAGAAATGTGCAGGAAATTGAGTGAGATTGCCTTATTTCTCTCGTTATGCTTATTTTGGGGAAAAAAACCGCCGTGTGTTTAACCAGAGACATATATATTAAGTGGACGCAAAACATGGCGTTATAAAATGCTCCTTTGTTGCGGCTGTAATCAAGTTAAAGGAGATGGAGTAATTATATATCCGTGGCAAGCGAGTTTCATGCTTATCATGTTACGTGTTGTAGCTATCTCCCTAGTTTAGTGAATTGTTTTCATATTATGCATACTCCCACTGTTTTAGGTTATAATATGTTTTTACTTTGATTAAAGTTAAACTGCTCTAAATTTAATTAAGTTTATGGATAAATTACAGGGGTTTTCTAATATTATATAACTTAAACTCATCGCATAAATTTAAGATTAAAAGTAATTAATTGTATCCATTCTTACAATAGTTAGATGCTATTATGGCTCTAATAAACAACTATAGTTGACCACTTTATTTTATAGCACAAATTAAAACCACAAGAATATCGATATAATATTTATATATATTAATTAATAGGAATATGGGAAACATTACAATTGACATAGTCTTTTATATATCCTTTTCTTTTATTTAGTACATCTGTAAAAAAAATTAATCCTAACTATAAATCTGGATATATATATATGCGTGTCCAGATTTATAGCTAGAATTTGCTTTTTGTGGGATGGAATGGCAGCTAGCTAGCCAAGGTGGAGCACGGTGGATCGAACACTTGGAATTTTGCGGGAGGAGACTTTGCTGCTCTCGCTGTTAGCAGCTATATATACGTATTAGTTGTACGTACGTACGTACACAGATACTATGCGCGTAGTTAAAATTAATTTCACGCGCCGCTTGCTAAGCGAGGTCGTCATCCATCGATCAGGTAAAGTTAATTAAGCTTGGACGCGTCGGCAATTGCTATAGCTAGCTGGATCTCGATCGATCTCGATACGCATGAGATCGACGTAGCAGATCGATCGATTGATCGCTTGCCGTTGCCGCATGTAATTTGAAATATTTATCCATTATTAATTCACATTCATGCCGCGTCAGTACGCATATGCAATATCCGATCCGATATCGATTTTATCCCGTAATTAAGATATTAATTCTACGTGTTAGATAACCCATATGCATGCATATGGTTGATATCGATCGGCCGACGACTGTACGTAGTGCGTTGCATTAATTAGCTACGTACGACATATATGCATGTAGGCTCCCATGGTCTAATAAGGTAAAGAAAAAATCAAATTTTAAAATTTTAAATTTATTTATTTTAAGATATAGCATTGGCTTTTAAATTACTAAGAATACATATATAAAAGTTTTACCTACAAATTTATTTTTATTTACCAATAAACCGTTAAAGGAAAAAGCCAGACGATCGGTACTGTATCCACGATCCACACGTACATAGTCTTTGCATGATCCAGCTAGCTCCGATGGCAAGCACCGCAAGCTCACGTAACCCTGCGGTAATTTTTTGCCGCTCACAATATAGGTATAAGAACTGAATGTAATATTTTTTATTACTATAAATCTAGACAGGCTATTAAATGATTCATTCGGTTGTAAGCTTTTATTTTTGCGACGAGAGGAGTAGTATTTCATCAGTATGTCGTTACGTGCCAAGCATGCATCAACTCATAATTGTTTTTGATCTGGGAGTACCTTTTACAAGCACTAACTTGCTCGGCATGGGCCGTAATGGATTGATGGGCCTTTGATCCCGACCCTCCCTGCTCCTGGTCAACAAGGCCCACCACCCACGGACTAATGGGCCAAATTCTACTGAAATGCCGTTACGGCCCAAATAATACTATATGCCGCACACTCGTTGCTATTTCCGATCTGGGCCAGAAAATATTATGCCGCACTACCAGCCCAGTACACTTCCAGCCCATCTTGATATGTATGGCCCGCACGTTCAGCGTAATCCCGTACCGCATCACATACGTGTGTCCAGATTATAATCACGTGGCTGGCTGACTGGCTGAATGGCGGGCGTCTACCTGGACCAAATCGTCGCCACGTCATCAATCAATCTATCCCTTTTAGGAAAATCAAAGAAAAACCCATGATTAAGGGGAAGGATGGAAGACGGCTTCAAAGTCGAAATGAAACGCATGTGCAGGAGAACCTTCGAATGGATCAACTCTACATATTTATAGATGGAGATGGACAGATAAACAAAGGCCCCCATCGGTTAGTCTCGCTTATTATAAGTCATAACGGGCTTATTTGCGATTAAAAAATAATATGTGAGTAAAACTTTTGTATATATGTTCTTAGTGATTGAAAAGCCAAAGTTAAAAAAAAACTATGTTGAAAAAGAATCAAATTCAAATTTAAGTTTTTAAATTCAAATTTTGGCTTTGGCTTATAAGCTTTAGGGCAAACGATGAGGCCCAAACATGTGAACAAATGATCAGTAGGATTTATTAGTACATCTTTTGCTTTTGCAATTACTTAGTTTACGGTGAGCATGTTTTCTGAACTACTTGTATTAAAATAGTTTAGTTTTAAAAGCTTTTTTAATAAAAAAAGTATATATATAAGAATTCAAATGAATCTAATTTTTAAATTGCTTGCTTCGATTAGCTCAGTTCTATACTTCTATTTCGTCGTTTAGCGACAGTCGGACCGGTGCTAAACCTTCTTCTTAGCTGTATATAGGTGACGTCGATGTGTGATGGTGGAATTTTTTCTTCTTTCCTAGCTACTCCCTCCGTTTCACAATATAGGTCATTCTAACATTTTCCACATTAATATGCATGTTACTGAATCTAGACATATATATCTATCTAGATTCGTTGACATCGATATGAATGTGGGAAATGCTAGAATGACTTACATTGTGAAACGGACGAAGTATTGCCTTTGAAGACTCTATCCTCGTAATTATTTCCTACTTTAATCAATAAATCATACCACTGATTGTTCAAAAAAACAAAAACCTTATCCATCATCAATGGTGTATTCTGCAAATAAAATCACCACAGCTTATATAATTGCATATAACATAGGTAGCTACAAGGATGAGCTTGATACCTATGCATGAATTAATTGATTTTCTATTTCATATAGCTAATGTAACAGCTAATTTACTGCATATACTTTCTCTCTTAGTGGCTACTCCCTCCGTAAAAAAAAAACCCAATTCTAGGTTTAAACCTGGACTCTGGGTTTTTTTTTGATGGAGGGAGTATATGTGAAATAACCAAATATTGCCGCTAAGTACCCTGCTATATCATTGACATTGCTCTAATCATTGATGACATATATAAGCTTGACTTGGTCAAAAAGAAAAAAAAATCTACCTTTTCCGCGCACGCATGCATATTGCTGTGCCGGTCGCCATCAGCAACCTTCTTTAATTAGCTTTCCAAAACTTCAATCACAACACAATAACATCCACCACAAAGCTAATTAAGCTAGTCGTAACAAACAAGCTAATATATGTCCACTGAACCATATTAATTCCAGTGATTAATCTCTTCTCCATCTCTGCCCTGCACCCTCGCCTCTGTTCGACAGGATGCCACCGTCGCCGCCGCTGCAGCTCGTCGCCCTGCTCCTCCTCTCTCTGCTCCTCCGATCCGCCACCGCGGCCGAGTACACCGTCGGCGATGGCCCCTGGGACACCGGCACCAACTACGCCACCTGGTCCGACAAGCACGCCTTCCTCGCCGGCGACATCCTAGGTTTCGATCAATTCGTTTCTTGGATTTGGATTGGATTTTGACGACGATATATATCCTACTAGCTACTAATGTTTGTGTTTGCGCCAGTGTTCCAGTACGTGAGGAGCCAGCACAACGTGCTCCAGGTGACGGAGGCCACCTACCGGTCGTGCGACACCGGCGGCGGCGGCGTCGCCGGCGTGATCAAGAGCTACGACACCGGCTACGACAGGGTGCAGCTCACGGAGCCCAACGCCACCTACTGGTTCATCTGCGACTTCCCCGGCCACTGCCTCGGAGGGATGAGGCTCGCCGTCAAAGTCGCCGCCGCCGCCGCCGGTGGCGGCGGCGGCGGAGGGAGCCCGCCGCCCAGCGGCGTCCCCTTGCATCCGCCGGCCGCCGGCGGCGCGGGGCGGAGCCAATGGCCGGCGTGGGGGTTGACTCTCGCCGTCCTCCTCGTCGTCTTCCATTATTGTATTATTATTTTTTGAGCTTGATGGTTTTGTTTTTTTCCGGAGAAAATTTAGAGACTTTGTTCGTTTGATTTGGGTGGGTTGATTTGTTCAACGAATTGTTCCCTACAAGCTGGTGATTCAACTGGTAAACAAAATAATTAACTATTGTCCAATTGATTGATTTTTAAACTTTACTCTTAGTATAATAAGGGTTGATGTTTTATTCTCTGTTTTTCTAATAATACTAACTCTGTACACGATTGCACATGCACTTATACAGATTTGTTGTATTAGGAAGTGTCGTGCAATCATGTATCATGTAGCAACATTTTAGAACAGAAAAAGTAATGAACAACATTTTGTTTGAACAGTAATAAACAACAGACTTGGTGGACTTGATCAGCATTTTGTCTATATGTTATTACAACTTGGAGCTGGTCTTGGCAAGTTGGCATATCCTCTCTTCTACTGTGGGCCACTGGGCCTTAGTGGATTGGTTCAATTGGGCCCAAATACAGCCCAGCATAATGCGTCGTCGAGCCCTTCTACGTACCCTTTCTCGGAGATTGGCCTGGAATATTTTGGATGGATCGATCGAACGCCATGGCCGGCGCCGGCGCCGGTGAAGGCGGCACCGTCCTGGTGGGCGTCCGAGGCTACGACAGCGGCCACCGCGAGAAGGAGGGAGGCAGCACGGCCACCTCCAGAACAAGCAACGGGCGTCCCATCGAGATGACATTCTGGAACGAGGCCCCTCCCGCGCTCTCCCACTTCTCCGCCCACGGCTCCGATCTGCCGCCCGCCGCCCATGGCGATCTGCTCCTGGCGCCCAAAGTCATCGCCGCCGCCTACGGCTTGCTCCTCCTCAGAGTCCCCGTCAACCCCGTGCCCGGCGGCAAGAGTCTCTTCCGTCAGGACGACTACTTCGTCTACCATCACCATCAACCCGCCAGGCTAGATCTGCTCCCCAGGCCGTGCCAGCAATATTGCTTACGCGACGACGATTTCGCCATCGTTAGCATCTGCGGCGACAAGCAGCAGTACGTCGTTGCCGCCCTCG